CTATTGTTCTGTGGGTGGTGGTAGCACTGTGAAACTACCGCTCATCTAGGACTTTGAAACTTACTGAGGCAGTAGGGGGAAAAAACTTACCTTTCTCCATGCGCGTTTCCAATAAATGATGAAATTGACAAATTTAAAAAAAAAATGTATGTAAAAGTTGCATTATGTATAATTTTTTGACATTATTTTACAAAGTAAATCTTTAGAAAAAATTTAAAAGTAAACATTTATGTAATTTTTCTATAGCAGTGAAAATATAAGTACCTACATAATAAGGACATTTGGCTAAATAGATTAAAAAAAGTCTCAGTGTTTTTTTTTTGGGGGGGGTGACACTGTTCAAAGCATGTTTTGTCTCTTTGGAACATGCATAGACCCACATTGCAAGTTTCGCACATGTATCTTCTTTTATGGGGTGTCTTCCTTGTGCTACCGAATGTACACTGCCTGGATCTAAATTTCACTGGTATGTGTCCTGCGTTATTTAATTTCTTTTCATCTGGCACATGAAATTTGTGTTTTATGTTAATGGAGGGGGAGGCTTGGTTTTTTGGCTTTGGTACAGATCATTCATTTCCCATTCATACTTATTTTAACATTCCTATTTGAAAAGCAAGCAAACGCCATTATGAAGAGCAGTGGTTTCAAGGCGCGACCACCGAGCCTCTAGAGCAGGGGTTGGCAACCTGTTTGTCCTTAAGGGCGCAATACTAAATTTGAAAATCACCGAGGGCGCATATTTTACAGATAATCAACAGGTATAAATAGGCATTAAAAAAAAAACAGATTTTTTATAACTTTATTTTGTTGGTGTCATACATAATGATACATATAATTCAGTGTGAAACTTGGGTGTCCATATTTTCAGCTAATTTCTTATAATTGGGGATATGTTGGGATATAGTTCCCGGTGAATTGGGGATATAGTTCCCGGTCCTTAAACAATTATCTAAATGTGAGTCATTAAGCTTTGTTCAGTATTTTGATTTTAAATATTTCATATTTGAGAACAAAGACTCGCAATTGTATGTTGTTGCACAATATGAATAAATTTTTAGCGCACATTTCCTTAAAATAGGATACTTATTTTCATCGACTAAGTTCCAAAACATTTTATCATTACTATGCTCTTTTAAAATAATATCACTTTGCAAGTTTATTATTTCTAATTCTAGGTCTTCGATATTATGAAGCTCGAAATACACATTACTATGCTCTTTTAAAATAATATCACTTTGCAAGTTTATTATTTCTAATTCTAGGTCTTCGATATTATGAAGCTCGAAATACACTGAAACTATTTCAAGGACAATCATTCAGTAACATTGAATGGATTTATGAAAAATTTTAGAACGGGTTCTAATGCTGCAAAAATCTTCAAATCTAGAAGAAAAAACTCTTCTATTAGCTTATCTATAATTTCTAAATATGATGTAGCAGTAAAATTTTCATTATTCAAATTTAAACTCACTCAACAGTATATTTTATATTTGGGGAAATGTGATAATGATTTTTTCAATAGATGGGATTTCAACAACACTAACTTGCATTTGAATGCATTTACTGCACTAATCATGTCAGCGATATGCTGATTTTTCCCTTGTATTTTTAAAATTTAATTCATTCAACTTTGCCGTTATATCTGTCAGAAATCCGAGGTCGATTAGCCAATCCTTATTTTCTAATTGCTCGTAAAATTCGCCTCTTGATGCAATAAATTCCTTTATTTGTGGCAAAAGCATGATAAACCGCTCAAGTATTTTACCTCTGCTCAGCCACCTCACTTCAGTATGTAAAAGAAGATCTGTGAACTGAACGTCCTCATCTTCTAAAAGTAATTTAAACAATCTGTGTTGCATAGCTCCCGATCTTATGGAATTAATAATTTTTGTTACTATCGTAAATACGTGTTGAAAACCGATTGTTTTTGCGCATAACATTTCCTGATGTATGAGGCAATGATAAGAAATAAATTTCGGGAATAAGGAATCCTGTCTACATAAGGCAATAAATCCTTTTTTCTTACCAGTCATCGCTGGTGCCCCGTCTGTTGTAATTGACGATAACTTTTGTACAGGTAATTTTACATCTGTTATATACTTTTTAAAAGTAGAAAAGATATCTTCTCCTCTGGTGCTTCCCTTTAATGGCAGAACTTTAAGGAATTCTTCTTTTGTTGTAAAATCAGAAAATACCATCTTCACGCAAATTGCTAATTGTGATATATTTGTCACGTCTGCCGATTCATCCATCTGTAGCGAAAAGAAAATACAATTTTCCATATCATTTGCTAATTCTGCCTCCAAATTCTCCGCAATTACTTCAATTCTTCTAGTAACAGTTTCGTGCTGATAATTGCAACGTGTTTATAGCTGAAACTATTTCCTTTTTATTTTTAAATTCTTCAAAAAAGTGAATCAGCAGCTTCTAACATGGCTTCTTTCACTAATTCTCCATCTGTAAATGGTTTTTTTATTCTTAGCTAGCAAATGCGATATTTTATATGACGCGATCGTTGCTGCTTTATGTTGTTGCAGTGGTTTAGTAAAAAAACTTTGCTGGTTAGTTATTGAAGATTTTAAAGAAATAATTTTTTTTCTTCTAATTTCAGAGTTCATTGGATAGTCACTATCAAAATTGGTATGAACGGTCTTAAAATGTCGTTCAATATTACTTTTCTTGGGAATCGCAACACTATTATTACACAACAAACAAATACACTTCCCTTTGTAATCAACGAAACAATATAGATGTTCCCATTCATCATTAAAATAATATGTTCTTTTTCTTTTACATTTATCCATGAAGGGTTTTGAAAGAAAAGAATTATTTCGGATTACTTGGTAGTTTTAAATGCACGGTCTACGCGTGGTCTATTCGAAATACGATCACACACTAACAAAAAAATACGTGCGTGTTATTAGATACGCTCAAGGTTAGCAAACTGCTAATCTATGCACAATCCTAAACTCAACTGACTACTACTGTCTAACCACGCTAGCGAGAGCAGTTTGGCTGAGGGCCAAGATGGGTCAGTTTAATTGAAGGGGTGTGTGAGCGAAAAGCGCTGGTATTTTTCCCTCTCGAAGTTCGAAGGGGTGTGGGTGAAATCGAAGGTCAGGGGACATTTAGTGTCTACCGGGCTACTGCACTCACCCCTACATAACTGATAGATGTGCCCACTTCCGCCCCAAACCGGATGTTTACATAGATCTGGAATATGTGGTCAGACAGTACTTGCTGTATATCGCCGTTTGACAAGAGGAAGTAAATCGCTTTGGCTATCATACATTTACATTAGTGGTGCCTGAGGGTGCCGCGTTGCCTACCCCTGCTCTAGAGGATTGTGAGCATTGTGGCACAATGCTCTAGTGGCGTAATGGTCGTGCCCTGAAACCACAAAGCAAATGCCATAAATATAGATAGGCTTTTTTATGTATGCAGTTTAATTATTGCAATTTTTTATTGTTCATGATAGAAATCGTGACGTGCAAAGTTGTTTATATTAATAAAAAAAAAAGTTATTATGTCTCATTGAAAACGAATTTTAAAGGGCATCCGATTTGAAGTACTAAGACTTAAAACATGTATGATTCTGCAGTCATTTTGTGTTATTTAGAGGTAAAAGATCAGTAATCGATTGATTTTTCACTCAAAAGTTTTGGAAAGAAGAGGAGGAAAAAATTCAAAACTTGGTGGTTTCAGTGTGCGACCACTGCGCATCAAAGGGTTAAATATTTTTCAAGTTCATAATTTTATATCTTTTAGTAAGGTCTGCGTGGACTTCTTCCTTTGTGGGGAAGTCCTGGTGTAATTTGCCATAATCCAAGGTTAATCCCTAATTTTATATCCCTTTAATTTCAAAATTTACTAAATATTAAACCAAAGGGCTGTTAGTCTCAAAATGCCACAAAATGGCATTTTGATACATTTTGTGGCATCTATAAACAGAGAACTACTTTTTAAATTGTTGCCACTAAATATTATCACCCTGTATTAAAGAAATTAAATAGTGAAGAATCTGCACAAATGCATGTATGTTCTCACATTGTGAAAAACGACGGTACCCTAGAGCCATGAAATTTTGAATAACATATTCTTCCACCTGAACATAGCATCTGGAAGCCCGAATTTTGAATTTAATTTGTTATCTATTTCATATTTTATAAAACTAGCAAATTTTTTATTAGCAATCTCAACCATTTCAAAGCGAACAATGGCTGCACTGTACGGAAAAAAACATTTTTATCTCCAGTGCACAAGACTGTCTATCGGAAATTCTAAAGATATACTCTTTTTAAATATTTTGTGATATTGCTGTTGGATTAATTTTATGTGGTTTAAATGCAAATAACATGATATTTAATAAATAAAGGTAACATACAAAATGTTAAAGTCTCTTTGGGTGTAATATAAAATCTGAAAGCTTTCTCCCCCCCCTCCCCATTTAGTAAAGGCTCGAGTTTAATTTTTTATGCATGAAAATGACAGTAACTAAAAAATATTATGAAGTATTATTTGCAGTAGTATATTTCAGATGAAAAGGTTATGCTTAAGTCATATAAAAATAATTGATTTTATAACTAAGCATTTATGTATAAGCCGAATGTACACTGCACTTAAAATTGATCTATTGCATACATCCTACCTGTTTTTATAGTTTATCCAAGTTTAATTATATTTTCTCTGGGTGTGACATTGTTTTCTTTGTTGACATGAATCTAAGCTAATGCATCTTGTAAAATCTTTCACAAAATTTATGTAACTTTGAAATGCTTTTCCATAAAAATGAGGTGCATGGAATTAAGAACGATGCACTTGCTTATGAGTTAAGTTAAAGAGTTTCTGAGTTTGGATGAAAATCTATGTTCTTTCTTTGTTTTAATTTGTTTGTTGTTCAGAAATGCTGGAAAAGCTGAGCAGTGTGTATTTTGTGTTACACTTATTTATTTGGGATTCTTTCTAAGTTTTCTATTCTTTTTTTTTTTTTTTTTTTTTAGGTCCGACAGTTCATTTAATTTTATGGTATTCTTCTTTATTTTCTTCTTTCAATTCATCTTATCCCTCATATATGCAATTGGAATTCCAGATTTTGGATCATGGTAAGTATAGTGATGTTTAAAGTATTGCTATAAATTATTATCATTAAAATACAGGACATTGTTTCTTTTCTATATTTTGTATTATCTGAATTATAAAAAGTGAGAATTACAGAATTAAAAAAGGGGATATATTTAAGGAAATATGTGATGATGCCATTGTATCTTTAAGACTATTTTAAAATCTGTTACTGCGAAAGCATTCGTATACTGAAAAAGCCCATCCCTCCTCAAAAATAGTTCATATACAGTGGCTCCCGAAAGTGATCGTACACTTATGATTTTCATTGAAATAGGGCTGGCTCTATCCATTAATTAAAAGTAAACTTTCTGAATGAGATTTTAATAATAAGATCTATAATCTATTCGTAACAAAATTACATGAAATATGTTTAAAATATAGCGAAACTTTACTTTTAAGAAATCAACAATCAAAAAATGACAAACATTTTATCTCACAAAAGTTTTCGTACACTTAAAAAAAATCTTGACATATTAGTAAATATTTTCATTAAATTAATAAATATTTAGTAGGATTTTTTTTTTAATTTTTCTAATTTCTGTATCAATGTATCAATTTTGTATGTTCATCCAACATGACTGTTTTTGAGTTCGCTTTTCGTTTTGATGTCGTGTTTTCATACTATACCCTCCAGTTCTTTCAAGATGTGTTCTATGGGGTTTAAATCTGGCGACTGAAGTAACGTTTTCAAAACCTGCATACAATTAATTATAGAGACATCACAGGCAAACGTTGGGAGTCGTATGCTTAGGATCGTTATCATGATTAAAAATAAAGTTGTTTCTAATACCCAAATTTTGGGGTGATAATTTTATATCCTCTCTTAAAATATTTAAATAAAGAGAATGATTCATTATGCCATCAATAAATACCAAATTACCTAGTTCTGATGCTGCCATGCACCTCCACCACTGTGCTTAACTGTTCCAACTAAGTTCTTAGAATGAAGTTCCTCATTTTTTCTTCTCCATCCAGTTGTTCGACCATCGGAACCAAAAAAGTTAAATTTGCTTATGTAGCAAATAGGACATTATCCAGTACGTTTCGGTGTATTTATCATTGATTTGCGAATGAAAGGCCGAGCTTTTGTTTTTCTCACTAACAAATTTTTTTTTTACTGGGAGATGCCATGTGATCCAGCTTTTTGAGAATCGTCGAAGTTTCAGGTAAATTGAAGCAGAAAACTTTTCATTACATTCGCAGAAACTTTTACAGTACTCAAAACGTGGGTTTTCACAAATTTTTAATATAAATCTTCATCACGTTTAGTTAACTTTCCTAAAACTAACCATTTTGTACCTTGTTTTCAGTCCGATTTTCTTCTTTGAAGCATTTTATCATATGCTGCACTGTAGAATGGGATAAATTAACTGATTTAACAATATTTTGAATTAATTTACCACTACTATGGTGAAAAATATCCATTTCGAATTGTTTGTAATTTCTTTACGACTGCGACCATTTTCAATAATAATAATATTATGAAGTAAACAGTAAAAAATTAAAGCAAGCGATTTTTAAATGCCACCACGATGCAAAAATTTAAAAAAAAGTGGCAAAAGAAATTCTAATTTGATTTTTCCACAAAATATTTCAATGTACAAAGACTTTGTGAGATAAAATTTGTCATTTTTTTTATTAATTTCTTAAAATAAGTTTCACTAGATTTTAAAAAATTTCATGTAATTTTGTTACGAAATAGATTATAGATTTTATTATAAATTCATGGAAAGTTTACTTTTATTTAATGGATAGAGCCCTATTTAATAAAAATTAAGGTACGAAACACTTTTGGGAGCCACTGTATATTTAATGAAATGGAAATACTCCTGTCAAAAGTGCAAATTTAGCTAGGAATTTCATCTGAAGTCATTGCAGCTTAAGCACAGTATTCTAAAAATAGCCTACTTTACATTTTGTTTATATATATATTACAAAATAATTTTTAAAAAATATAAATATGCTTAGTATTGTCATGCTTTACACTGCTGAAAATTATCTTTAAAGACATAAAGTAAGAAATTTAGGATTCATGTTTCACATAGATCAAAATTTTTGAAATTCATAATTAATAAATTTCAAACAATCTTGTAAATGCAACAAAGAATTTAATAAATGTAAAAACCAAAACTTTTAAAGAATCAATACCTCAATTCAGAAAAAAATTTAAAGAAATTTTAGAAAAGAACACAACAGAAGAGTCAACTTCTATGGCATTTATTTCATCAAGGGAACAGAACACTGAAATCAATTGAAATCTCTCTTCTACAAAAATCCTTGCTTTTCTGTATCCAAAATTAACCGATGAACCATTTCAATGTATTTTAATTATAATAGTTTACCCGAAAATTCTGGCCCTTCCCCAAAGCAAGGAGAAGAATTCTAATTAGAATCTTGTACCTTAAATTAAGAGAATTCTATTTTAATGAATTGAAACCGAAAGTGAAAAATTAAAATACTTCAGTTGAAAAAAATTCAAAATTTTACCTTTAAACATAAATCACATAATCCAAAGTATTTTAAACTTTAGTGAAGAAAAATCTTACTTAAAACTCGCAATAAGTAATTAAAAACCTTGAGCACTTTCAATTAGACCTTAGTAAAATCTAGGAATATCGCAACTGTAGTGACTTACAGGTTTGCCATTTTGGCAAAACTAAAAATCCTTGGCGAGAAAGTAATCTCTGAAAAGGCTAAAATTTGGAACAAAATAAGATGGAATTTTGAAACCAAAAGAAAAACTTTCAATGAAAAATGTATAAAATTTGACGACAACAACAAAAAAAAAAATTGCTATATTAATTGAAAGAAAGTAAATTCTGACTTTTTTAAAATAAAAATCATCACGACTTTGAAAGTATATATGGCTCTTGTTTAGTAACAGAATACTTAATAGTAAAAATAAAAAATTAAAAAATTAAAAACTATATAAACCCTTTGAGACATCCTCTTTATCTTTCTTTTGGAGATTTCAGATAAAAAAATTCATACTTAAGAAGTATTATAGGGTGTAGGACTACTCAGATCTCTTAAAAAGATATTAATGAAATTTAAAGGAATCATTATCTTTTAAATTGGGTGAGAATTAGAATTTCTTTTTGTGTTTTTATTCAGTGTGAACTTTTTAATTTGCGAATTTGGTAATAACATATCTGCAATAACTTTTTAGAATGTTGAAGTTCCAATTTATAGTTTATTAGTAGAAAAAATTTAAGTCTTTTATTTTATCAAAAGGTTTAATTTCTGTTAGATTATGAATATTTAGATCAAGATAAATATTTCTGTTTGATTTTATTGGTCTATTTAGTTTTAGACAATTTGGGTAGATGTTGCTATTTTCGATGAGATTAAATTGTTGAAAGTAAAGTAATTTCAATATATCTATAAGGGTTCAAAATTCGGAAATCATTAGTGGAAAGGCTCTTTAGAAATTTGTATTCTTTAGAAAATAGAAATAAGTTACAAATATGAGTGGAATATGAACTTCCAATTGGAAATCCTTCCTTGCTTTTGAAGGTAAAGAATTTTTAAATGTTTAATATAGTTATTGTATAACAAAAAATGTAGAAATTCTTTCCATTTTTGTAAATCCAAAATATTAAGTAACAAAAGGAAGAAAGGACTAATAAGAATCCTGCACCTAGGCTGCAATGATTTAATTAAACCTAATCATAAGAATGAAAGGGGAATACTCCTATTAAAATTTCAATATTTCAATATATGTATAAAGGGTGATTCTAATTAAAGTTGTGATTTCAAAATGTTTTAACTGTAAAAACTATTGGTTAGAATGAATGGATATTTTACCAGAACAACTGTGAGGGCAATGGAATTTTGTTTGGCAAAGGAAAAAAATATTTCTAAAGTATGCCTATAGATGGTGCTGTCAGGGTTCACATTGCTATGGTGGAGGTATGCAAATTAATAGGACATGACATGCATATCGCAGACATAGCTGTGATAAAAATGAAGAGCACTAGCAGAGCACGTAACACTTTGGCCTTAATTCATCGTGACTCTGACAAAGAAGGATCGCACTCTACTCGTGAAGCTTTTCTATCAGAACAGTAACTGTGTGTTAAAAGTGTTCAGAAAGTTTCGGACATTAAAAGGCATAAAATCCAGCCCAATAACCACATATGACCTGTGGAAAATGATAAATTCGAAGAGACCAGTTCATTTGACATGAAGTGATGTACAATACGATAACCAGTTTCATGCCACAGCATTACAAGAATAGATGAGTGGTAATGTGGGAATCGGCAGTTCATGGGGTATTGCCCGAATTTTGGATATGCCTATCAGTGTGGTGCATAAGGTCCTAAAGAATGTCTTGTGCTCTTATCTGTACAAGATAGCTCAAGTGCAGCAATTGTTACCGGCTGACCTGGAACCTTTTTTTTTCCTTCGCCAAACAAAATTTCATTGCCTTACGATTATTCTAGTAAAATATCAAATCATTCTGACCAGTAGTTTTTAAAGTTAGAGCTTTTTAATCATCCTATATATATATATATTCAATGGCGGGCACTTGCCTATTCAGCATTGCCACTCCTAAAGCGAGAAGTGGTGGCCATTTTATTGTGGAGGTACTTAATAGGTAGCAACTGTTGCCTTGTATGAAAGGGCAGACAGTTACAACCATGCTTCTCTGAAATTCAAACCCCTGCCCGTCAAAAGCAGCACTAGGCTCTCTGAACCTCTATGTTGTCTGAGCAGCTTCTCCGAAAATAGTTTCCACTTAAATATTTACTGTGCTTTCTATAGGGGAAAAAATAATTTACTGTTTCTTTATGAACATAATTATTTATGTTCAGAATTTTTAATTTAGAAGGTTAGATAAATTGTTTCATATATTTCACTAGAATTTTCTTTTTTGCCATTATTGATATTTAAAAGAAATATCTGTTAATCCATACTATTAGCATAAACAGAAAAGTAATAACTAATTTACTTGATCTATATGTTATATGCTGTAAAC